TATATATATATATATATATATATATATATATATATATCCCTAGAATCAGGTGAGTTTAATCAACTACAGTCACTCTTAATTATAAGAGCATGCCGTTGAGCTATATGCAAGCACTGATGAATTTCTTTTGGTGAGAGGGTTCAATTCTGTTTTGGGAAACAAATCTTAATTTTAAGCATCCTCTATGAGTTATCATTGTTATCCATTTCATTGGAGATACTCTGATTGGCCTCTGAAATTGGCAATAATCTATTCACATGCTAAAAGTGCATTCATTTCCTATCTCACTGTGAACACACTGAGGGTGCTTGTTTGTTAGGAAAAGTGTATTTACAAATGCATTTTGCTGCATTTTCAAATTGTTTTTAAAAAGCTGCAATGCTGCTTAGGCTCTGAAAAATAGCTAAATGCAATTACTTTCTCATTTTGTTTTCTTTCCAAATAGACATTTGGTCTCCTTCCTTCAAATGTTTTTTTCTCCTCTGTTTAACAGGTTGATTTAGTGAATATTGGAAGCACTGACATAGTAGATGGAAATCATAAACTGACTCTTGGGTTGATTTGGAACATAATCCTCCACTGGCAGGTGAGAACCCTGATGAATGCTTTCGTTTTGGGTAACATGTGGCTGATCCTTCCTTTTGTTTTTGTTCCTTGACCTGCAAAGCAAATGAGTACAGTATGTCTCTAACAATAACAAGCCCATCTCTAAAGTGCTGCCTTTTAAATTGGCACAACTCATGTCATCAGAGATGTTAAGGCTCAGGAGATTATAAAACAGGTTCAAGCACATTTGCAGAAATACTTTTTCAAGTTTTATTTCACTGTCTAGAGATGACACACAAAAAAATCTCATCAATAAAGTAATAAAAATATTTTTCATAAATACGTCTTTTTCTATAACACACCAATAAATGTACCTACATAGTTTTGTAAAAATAAAGGATTTTCTTCCCATTAATCACTTCCAAAGAATAAAACCTTGCCAATCCATGTTGTGTATATTCAGTGTTAACTAATTCCATTAAAAGACTGGTGAGAAATGATTATAGATATGAATATATGTGTTATATGCACAACCACACTTCATAATCTAGTTTGCAAATTGCATTTTTCCTTGAACCAACTCGGAGGCTGTTTTTTGAATCCTTACAAAACAGATCTGAAAGTTACTTGGTTTTGGTTTAGTGAGAAGACTATGCTTTTTTTTTTTTAGTCAAATCAACATAGGCTTTAATCTCAACTAGTTCACTTACCATCTTGTACCATTTGGTATAATGCTGTCCCTTTCTGAGACTTACTTTCCTCACTGTCAAAATAGTAATGATAATATCATGTATATTTCATTGTAGGATTAAATGACAGACTATGTGCAAAGCACTGAGCACAGCGCACCATTTTCACTACAGGTGCAGCACGTGAATAATATAGATGGCTGTTGATTTTCCACTCATACATTTAGAATTTTGCAGAGAATTGAAATAAGTCTGCCTTTTCACTAGTAGGGATTTTTTTTTTTATTTTCATAAAACAGCTCTATTCAATCTTTTACATATCATAAAATTCCCCCACTCAATATGTTCAATTTGTTTCTTTTAGTATATTTACAGACTTTTAAAACCATCACCACAGTCTAATTTCAGCACATTTACACCACCCTAACAACAACAAAAATTATAATGCCCATTTTTAATCATTCCCCACTCCCATCTCTACCCATAGAGAACTGTTAATCTATTTTCTAACTTTCCATATTTACTTTCTGGGACAGTCTGTATCAATGGAAAATATATTATGTGTTCTTTTGTGTCTGGCTTCTTTCATTAAGCATAATGTTTGAGGTTCAGTCCTATTCCGGCATATGTGAATAATACTTCATTTAGTAGGGTTGACTTTAAGCTGAATTGTAGATTGATTTTACTCAGAGTCTAACAGCAGAGAGACCTGACATGTACCTACTCTATTCAACAGCCACATTGCTCCACCAATTGGCCCCTACATCTTTTTTTTTTCTAAACACTGAGCAGTGTCATCTACATTTCACAATAACAGGGAAAGGGAGTTAGAGCAATCTTACCTTCTGATAACACAGAATAGCTCATAAAAGCCTCAAGTGAATCCCAAGTTTCCCAAACAATTCTCAGTTCTTTCCATATAGTGATGACACCAAGTAGAACCAGCAAGGTAGTGTAGTGCTCCCACACAAAAAAAAATTTAGTTCTGTTCGTCAGTATTATTCAAACTATCTTGAGCAAAGAACGGTTTCTCCCACCCAAACTATCACAGCCCAATTTTTTAAATGATGTAGACTAAAAATAAATGATTCAACAGATACAAATATTATAAATGTTACTCTCCAACAATAGATTTTTTTTAACACTTATTTGCAATTGCTGTAGTTATATTGTCATAGTCCCATAAACAAATGGTTTGCAGAACTCACTTTGAGTAGCACAGATGTGGGTCTTGAAACAGCCAGCAGGAGAACTGAGTCATGCACAGATTCCCAAACTTTTAGTTGCATTTATCGTACAGACTGTCTCTCATATGATCTCACACTTCAAGAAAATATATTGTGATTTAGGTGAAAGTTTACATAGCAAATTCATTTTCCATATAGTAGTTCATACATCGGAAGGAAGGTTGGGCAATCCTACTTCTGTAGTGATACTGCCTCGGAAACCCAAGGAGGGGTCGCTATGAGTCGGGTTTGACTCGACGGCACATAACAACAACAACAACAGTTCATACATACATTGTTTCATGATATTGACTGCAATTTCCCACAATGTAACAGCTTTCTTTCTACTTCCTCCCTGTTACCTCTTCCCTGTGCCCTTCCCTCCCATGCACTCTCCCACCCCTTGAGCTGTGTCCTTGTGCAAACATTGCTCTTCTGTTCTCCCATGATTGATCGCTCCAAGGAGTGTGTCTACCTGATGTGAGTGTTCACTCTGTGTGCCTGTCTGTTGTTTGTCTGGAAGCCATAGGAATGAGTTCAGTTCCAGACCTGAAGACTAACTAGGGGCCATAGTCTCAGGTGTCTCACCAGGCTCTATCAGACCAGCAAACCTGGTATCTATTTATTTATTTGTTTTATGATTTTGAATTTTGTTCCACATTGTTCTCCCACACTATCCAGGATCTCCTGTACCGATCTCCCTCTGAGTGGTTGACAATGGTAGATAGGCACATCTAGTTCTTCTGCTTTTATGGTCATATAGGCTGAGGATCACATGACCTACTAGTCCCTTGGACTAATTGTTTCCATACATCTTTGTTTTTCTTCATTCTTCTTTGCTCTGGATGAAGAGACCCATCCTTGCATCTAGATGGCCGCTTGCAAGCTTTGAAGACTGCAGTTGCTACTCAGCAAAGTAGGATGTAGAACAATGTTTTTGGATCTCACACTTTCTTATCTACTCAAAAACTCTTCCCATCTCCATCTCAACGGACCCCAAGATAGAGTTTTTAAGACCACCTTGTCTGATATTTTCTTTATTTGATTGTGAGCTTGTACGTATTTTATTCTGAGCATATGGAGGGTCTTTCATACCAAAGAATCCAAGAGGAATGCTTGTGTAGCCTTTCCTTGCCTGAGACCTCTGTTATGCTCTGCTGTTTTTCATCTATGTCTTAGAATCATCAGATCCCTGTGGTGGTTATGATGTACATTCTTCCCAGCTTCTCCTTCCTTACCTCATCTCTCCTTTGATCTATCACACTGCCCTGTTCTCCGACATCTACTAAAAACATGTGCATTTTCTTTACCTCCCTCACTTCTCCTCACTGCAACCCATTGAATCCTGAAAGATGTTTTGATCAAAATTACATATTCACCTTCCCAGTAAATAGTCAAAGAAGCACGTGAATTTCAGCAAAGATTAAAGGACACTCTAGTCAAACTAATGTACTTTCCAGCTGTATCAGATTGAGAATAGCATTAAGAGATGCAAAGATGTGAATCTGTTGTTCACATGCCACATACTATTTTATTTATAGTGTTGTGGAAGTTTTTTCTTTGAACTTGTAAAAACTCAAGTATGCCAATTCTATATCCCCTGTCACTTTTGAGGCCCAATTTTTTTCTCCTAGTTTTCACTTCAAATAAAATTGTTACCTTCAAAAATAATGCATATATTGAGGAATAAGAACTTTCAAAACAGTTGTGAAGTAGACAATGTATTTGGGAATTTTTCTTTTCTTTTCTTTTTGTGCTACTCATCGTTTTTAGATGGAAAACTTGCCTCTAGCAACCAGCTAGAGATAAAAACAAATCCTGCTAACCATGGTGACCTATAAGAAAGTAGCCCCTGCCTTTGCTGGCTTACTCAAGGAAAGGACTCAATTCCAGGACGAGTTCCCACTGGAATCTTTATATTATTTATTTATTTATTTTGCCTAAGATATGATTGAAAAAGAAAGATGGTGTTTGCATAATTAAAAATCCTCATTGTGAACTCTCACCTACCAAATACCTTCTGTACAAGACTGTTCTTGTTCCTGTTTTCTGCAGGCTTTTCACACAAACTATCCTTTTCTATTCTAACCCCTCTCTGGCCCTGTCCCTTTCCTGTAACTCCTTCTGTCAAAGGTGAAGTTCCTGGAAGTAGACTTTGAGGTTGACTTTGGCAGGCAGGACATTTGCTAAAGGCATGTGCTTGGATCCAACATCTGTGGCATGGAGGAGGAAAGGAAGAGGAAAGCGGGAGAGGAGAAAGAAGAACAATCCCATCTACAGCCTCAGTCAACCCAACAGAGAGCTCCGGAGCTAGAATGGCTGCTCAGTGTTGGCCCAAGTAGGGGCGAAATGGCTGAGGCTTTGTTGTGCTTTAAATGTTATTTACTTTGTTGTCATTGAGAATATACACAGCAAAACATACATCATTTTCAACAGTTTCTACATGAACAATTCAGTAACATTGACTGCTTTCTTTGAGTTGTGCAACCATTCTCACCTTCCTCTGAGTTGTTCCTCCCCCATTGATAGAAACTCACTGCCCCCTAAAGTTTCTATTTAATCTTCTGAGTTACTGTTGCTAATTTAACCTATAGATAGATCTTGAAAGAGCACAATGCTCAAGGCAGACATTCTTTAGTAGTTAAGCCAAACTACTGATTAGTTTTAAGAAGACTTCAGGGGATGGCTGAGTTTTTATATCACCCCCTTTCATCAGTCACTAGATGGTGGCTATGATAGGAAGAGCTAGACTTTTGGGGAGATAACTTGGAAGCTCAGGAAGTCCCCAGTGGGGTAGACAGATGAAAGTTGCCTTAAGATAGCAAGAGCAACAATTGCTTTCTTGAAGGGGAATCTTGGTGAATGACTAAATCCATCACACCTTCTTTGTCCAGTTAACTCTTGGTCATTTTTTAAAAATCATTCCTCAAAGGATACTTCAAACATTTACTTTTAAAAATAAATTAATAGCCCTGTATGTGTGTGCATAGACACATACAAACACATAGCTAGTTATATTAGTTGGTTTATTTTTTCCTCTCAGGGAAAATAAGTCCCAAAGATGGGGCATTTTCTTCTTACAGACTCATTATTAGGAATGGCTCAGTATCTGATTCAAGGTTGATCCTCAATAAAAGAATCCCCATGATTGTCTTTATTGTAGGAATAGAAGAAATGTTTATTACACATTGCCCCCTTTTTTTTCTCAGCAATATTTGTACCAGAGTATAAGCATTACCAATGAGGCTGAGGCTGAGGCTGAGGCTGATAAGCAGAATTAGTGACATAATGATGCTAAAGCAGTTTTGAATTGAATATTCTGTTGTCCTTTAACATTATGCATATTGAGGGCAGTCTGGCCAGGCATTTCACAAATGAATCCCATTCATCATGGGAGGGTTGCGGGATCAGTGCAAATCCATCACCAACACTGAGTCAGTATCTGCTGATTCCAATTCTGGTTCAGCACAGGACACAAAATACATATCCTGCAATTGCTGTACATGGAGGTTGGGCACTGTATAACTTTAGAAAATGATGAGGAAAAAATATGTACGTTATATAACCATTTGGCCTATTTATTCACTGAGTAACTGACTAAATAAGCAGGTCAGGATAGAATTAAGAAAACTGGATAATCCACCCTTAAATAATTCATTTAGCTATCAAAGGATCCTGATAAATATATGCAAAGATTTCCCATCTTCAAATCATTACCACCTTTACAGAACATTTTCTCAAATCCTTTTAAAATACTTTAAAGTCAGATTTAATACTCAAACCTAAAATTTGCATAGAATATTTCATAAAAACATAAATAACATTGGAGATGTTAAAATATGCATTTACCCCAAGGCATTGGTTAACTTCTACATCAATGGAGAAGCAAAATAAAATGTTAAGTTACAATACATAAGAAATTTCATTATCTGATCAAATGTTCGTAGTAACGGACCTTCCAGTTCTCAGGAGGAAAGCTGTTGTTGGTAAGAACTATGGCATCTGATAAGGGTCATGACTTATATTAAAAAGTAGCCTAGTATGTAATTCTTTAAGGAAGTATGTGGACAGTTTCTTCTATAATGTGTAGTCACTACTTTCTTGAAACTTAGGGAACAATTACTTAGAATGGATTACTGTATCAGATTAGTTAGAGGAATGAAACTTTTAAACACTATATATAACCTGCTGAATAGTATTTGCACAATGCCTAGGAGAAGCAAATATATATTTTTTAAAAATGGCAGCACATTCACAGCTTTAGGAATATATACTTCTTTTCATTCTTTGTTGATTTTTATTTATTTTAAATAGGTAAACTCAGTTCTGTATTTATTTTTTTAGTTCAATCAGTAAACAGAAGGCATTATTATAAAATACAGTATAAACTTAGGGGTTTTATTATGGTAAATTATGTCATTTGGTTCTTACAGCAACCTTGTGTGTATAAATTAGGAGACTGAGGCCTAAAGAGGTTAAACAGATTGTCCAATTAAAAAAACCAGAAAATAACAAAACCAAAATTTGAACTTAGGCTTCTGTTGGAAGCAATGTAAGCCCATTCTCTCATAGTCACTGCACTAGTCCAACTGTCCTAAAATTGGAAATATAGCTTACTTCCTTGGTTACAAACATATCTAAAGATAAATATACTTTGTACTTTAACATTTCCATTGGAAGCTACAATATCAACAATTTTATAAACAGTAGGTTAATAGATTATATTGCAGAATCCAGAGGTGATAGTAAAAGTGTTCAGTAAATGTTGTGGTACAAATACCAAAGAGAATACATGCCTGACCAATGAGAATGGACTGAGTTCTGGTTGAATCTATTACATTTCATTATGAATTGACCCTAACATTCCCATTATTTGTTTCTGAAAATTGAGGATTTTCACATTTAAATTTGTGGGTTCATGGTCACAGAATGCATTTTCTTATGAAGATTGTTTCCACATACAGGTCAAAAATGTAATGAAAAATATCATGGCTGGATTGCAACAAACCAACAGTGAAAAGATTCTCCTGAGCTGGGTCCGACAATCAACTCGTAATTATCCACAAGTTAATGTCATCAATTTCACCACCAGCTGGTCGGATGGCTTGGCTTTGAATGCTCTCATCCATAGTCATAGGTAAGGACATTACTGAGAGACTGAATAAGTTTTTTGTTTTTGTTGTTGTTAGGTGCCCTTGAGTTAGCTTCGACTCATAGTGAGTGACCCTATGTATAACAGAATGAAGCACTGCCTGGTCCTGTGCCAGCCTCACAATCCTTGCCATACCTGAGCCCATTGTTGCAGCCACTGTGTCAACCCATCTCATTGATTTCAAGACTGTTGATACTTTTTCCCACAGCATGGTTTCAGGTCATTGCTTACTATGCAACACGTTATGTTTGTTGACCATATCGATCCAGCCATTCATCAGAATGAGTAGGAATATTTATACTAATATTATTTATAATATATCATTGGGATGTTGAAAATATTAAAAATTAATGGAGCATGACTGCGGCTATAGGCCAACGTATTTGAAATTGGTACTCTCCCAGAAAATCCAGAGTTTCTTCTAACACTGCTGAGATGGAAGTGATTTTCTATAGAAATAATGCATTGGTATGAGTCCAACCTACAGAGCTAAAAAATGATATGAGATTTCATGTCAGCAGCTGTAGTAAAACTGACTGCTATGATAAGATAAATATACAGAAAAAGAGACATTTGTTTGGTCAGTTGCACATTTAGATAGGAAACCCCATAACCAAAACCAAACTCACTGCCATCGAGTAGATTCCAATTCATAGTGACCCCTACTGAGTTTCCAAGGTTGTAAATCTTTACTGAAGCAGACTGCCTCATCTTTCTTCTGTGGAGCAGGGGTTGGGTTTGAACTACTGACTTTTTGGTTGCAGCCAAAAACCACTACACAAACTGAGCTCCTTGGAAACCTCATAAGGCCCTGTTTATATTCTTCTAGGTTAGGATTAAAAGAGGCTCTGAGCATTTTAGCAAGCAAGACGGAAAGCAGAATACAATTAATCCTATGACACAGTGTTCTGAGTATCAAAATAAATGATTAATCTGGAAGAGCAAAACAATTTCTATAGTGTAGGTGTGATAGAGTTCTTCTCAATGTGATAGAGTGAACCAAATAGGAATATAATATATATTTCCTAAGGAAACAAAATTGGAGTCCTGGGTGGCAAAAATAGTTAAGCAACCAGTGGTGCCTCGGAAGACAGGCCTGGCAATCTGCTTCAGAAAGGTCTCAGCCTTGAAAACCCTGTGGAGCAATTCTGCCCTGCACACATGGGGTCACCATGAGTCAGACTCCACTTGCAGGCAACTAACGACAATAACAACAAGATTCTAAATAATTGTTTACTTGTTCTTATGAGGAAAATTCAGTAAATGACTTAATACTAGTTCACAAAACAGCAAACCCACATGGACAATATAAGGGTTATCTACTATGATCTTCCTGTTACCCATCTGTGTTACCCAACTCAATCCCCAAGTCAAATACATTGTCTAATAGGCTGTGTTTGAAATGACACTGGACTACATCTTCCCTGTTTTTCTATGTAG